CATTAACTCCCAGTGGAGCATAGGGCCTCAACAATTCCTCTGGAACGTGTTATATTTGGAGCTGCCGTGCAGATGTTGTTCTATGAGTAGCGTGCTGATGTTAGTTCTACATCAATTGTCCTTAACTATGTTCTTGAAGGAACGCCAGGCCAGAGCATTAAAGCCATTAAATCCTCATAATAATTTACACATATAAAGAGCTTTCATATCAATGTGTTCATTATAAATAAATCTACTGATTTAAGGTAAAAAATATAGTATGCAATCCTTAATAACAAATGTCCCACAAGGGAAATAAACAAAATTTGAATAATTTGTCATATGTTTTGTATGTAAAATGTAGACAAAAAAGCTAAATCGGTTTTTACCAAAAGAAAGGAACAAATCTTAATTTCATTAAAATAAGTAGTAAATAGTTAAGTAGTTTTAGCTGCAGTGGAAACATGATGTTAGCAATAGAATAGATTAGAATTAGAATTAAAATAATTTAGAAAACGAATAGAAATAGAATAATATAAATAAAATAGTAATAGAATAAAATAGTAATAGAATAAAAATAAAAGTGAAATGGAAATTTGATATAAATATAATAAAAATATTTAAACAAAGCTGAAACAGACATATCATTGAACATAAATTTTGATTATCAAATGGTTTATTTAGAACAAAATAACTACCCAATATACATACTGTATATTTATTTAGAAAACTATTTTTTGAAAATTATTTTCATTATTTTTCTCAACTTATCAATGCTCCCTCGTATGAGTTTCTACATAGTGGCACATGCAAAATAAAATGCATTTATGCACTTCGTTAACTTCGCACATACGCCGCTTTTCTTAACCGAGAAAATGATGGGTTTAATAATTTATCTGTTAATTAGCGAACACACGCGCGGTGCATAACGGCTCCTCGTGTTTCATCTTGGCCACAACTTCATCTCAAATTAACGTTGGTGGAACTTGAAATTGTGCCGCCACTGCTTGTCGTTTTGCGATTATTGTGGTAAGCACGTTTATGGGTTTTCTCGATTTCGTTGAAGTTGCTGAAGTGGCCGGAGTCGTTATAGTTGTTGGTTTGATTAACTTTTTCATGTTTTTTCATAATTTTTATTGGTTTTAACAATCACCTGTAAATTAAAAGCTGTAGTTTGGCGCGAAGTTATTCAAAATTATAGTTTCAATTTCAATCCAAAAAGTAATTGTCTGTAATTGAGATCAATTATAAAATGTTTCTTCGACTACTTATTACATATTTATAGCTTAATTACTGAAAACTATAAAATTATTACTTCATTTGCATAGCTTAATTAATAAGAACTTGATTTTCAATTTCAGTGTATTTTAAATATCCACTACTTATTCTCTTTCCAGTGTAACTTCGTAAAAATGTTGCATTTATTGATTTTTCTATTATCGATTTATCAGCTACAAACGTTCAGTTTCAGCGAGATTATTGATAACCCGAAATCTAATGTGCTGGACGAATCGGATGATTATAACTCGCTACTAACACCAGAAATACCATTTGATCCGTTGGACTCATCGGAGAGTGTTGAGGAGAGTAATGTACCAATAATAAAATCTGCTCGGGATCAAACTGAAGTAGCATTTCTTCAACCCATTTCTGCTGTAAATATCGATTATGCCAAGAATTCCATTATATTGAAATTCCGCAAGGATCGTCCTAAATTACGCATGAAACTTTTATCCGAAGAGGCTGAGAAACGTAGAGCTCTGGAAAATAATTTTATGCGTTTCGGTCGCACGCCTAATGCTGATTTCATGCGCTTTGGCCGTAATCCCGCTGACTTTATGCGTTTCGGTAAACGTCAAATTGAGGAATATCCAACGGCGAACAGTCACGAATCTAAAAACTATAAAGAAGGTAATGAGCGTGCTGAACGCAGCACTCAACGCGATTCTCGTGGTGATAATTTCATGCGTTTTGGTCGCGTGCCAACTACTGATTTTATACGTTTTGGTCGAAACCCTGCTGATTTCATGCGCTTCGGGCGTAGTGGTGCCGACAATTTTATGCGCTTAGGTCGAAATCCTGCTGATTTTATGAGATTCGGTCGTAATCCCAAACAGAATTTTATACGTTTTGGAAGAAATCAAAAATCTTATATCGATAAGAATTTCATGCGTTACGGTCGACCTGATAACTTTATGCGTTTTGGTAGAACTCCACCCGAACCAGCTGACAACTCTGCAAACTTTATGCGTTTCGGTAAGATGGATCAGAATTTCATGAGATTTGGCAAGAGTGTTAACACACCAGATAATTCCAATAATACAAAAGTAATGCTACAGAAGAATGAAATTAAAGAGGCCGCCAAGATCTTACATCAAGCTGATAAAAGTGCAATCGATGAAACCAATCCCATGGATAAAGCCATAAGCGTGCTCTTTAATAAGCAAAAGCAACAAGAACAACAGCAACAAAAGAATTCGGATGAAATCGAGGATATGGATTTGGATTCAGATTATATTGTTAATAAATAAATTATATATAAAATGCAAAAATAATTATTATTTTAAGAAAATTATGGGGCAATCAAGTATTGCTAGGATGAATGTTTATATATATGTATATTAGAGTTACAGATGTTATGTCTTCTATTTAGTTTTTATTTACATGTTAAAGGTGAATTTTTACAAGGGCTGGATTAAAAGTTCACTTTTAAATGAATCTTATATTGAGCACTTACATACAATATATTATATATGATAAATATGTATTAAAACCAATTTAAAATCGCATTACAATATAAATATACTTAAATCAAAATTATTATATAAACAAAATATATATATACAAATGCATATACAAAAAACATATATTAACTTATATAGCAAAACCAATTAACATAATTTTAATAAATACTTTGAAAAAGTTTATATTGTTTTTGTGTAGACTTTTTTTTATTTACGATAATAATTATTAATAAAAAATTATTTTTGTTGAAGCCTAATAATTATAACTACGAAATTACGAAATGACGATTTAATACTTCCTATATGATTAGAAAAGTGCATCCTGGAGAAGGGGTACATAAAAAAACTAGATAAATATAAAATAAATTACGGTAACATAAATATCTTTCCCTTATTTCCTTAAAAATATATTGACTATAAGAATATGAATAGTAGAGTATTGACACAGCTTGGGGACCACTACCTTAGGGGTCATTTTTCATAACAAAATAATATCTGAATTAAATATTTAAGAATGTCATTTGCTCTCATACCTACTTACTCATCCCTTCACCTGTCTACATTCATATAGCAAAGTAATATTTTTTATTAAAATATGCGGCCAAATAGTTCGGAATTAATTTATCTTAATACTTTATAAAGAAATTTTACATAAAGCATAGTACGAGTACTTCAACTCCAAGACTCTTCATTATTGTTCATTAATAACAATACGAAAATATGATTTAAATATTGCATATGGAATTTCTGTTACCAAAACAGATTAGGAGCTCTTCTCCAGATTTAGTTCTGAATTATATTCACAAAGCTTTAAAGGGAATTTGGTACAATAGCAGTCTTCTGGCCGCAGTGCTGACTGTTGGGCGATTGTCGATTTCTCGACAATAGTTTTATTAATATTATAATAATATGATTCAAATATAAATGAGTACTAAGATAACATCTAAAATATTTTTAAATTAAATAGCTACCAGATTAATACACATTGTAAAATAAATGAAATGACTAATAAAAAAATAATAATAAGAAAAATATAGCGATTGCGCTATAACAAATGTGAACTTCGACGAGATCAGCTTTGCGAGGCCTCTTTGGGTTTCTTTCAAAAAACTCAAAAGTGTAGAAAAAATAGACAAATGAGCTGAGTTGTACGTTGTACACTACGTATTCATACAAGACAAGAATGAATTTATATATAGATATATATATAAATGAATATATTTTTAAAGAGTTATGATAAATGAAACAACAATGTAAGCATCGTTTCATTTATGGACAACTATGCCTGCTTGAAAAATGTGACCCGAAATGGAACCTTTCAAACTTGTGTTTGTTTTATATAATAGCATAAGTATTGCCAGATATATGGGTACCATACCATATTCTTCAGTAAACCCAAAATCTCCAGTATTTGTCGAGCCATCCCGCTGAGATGAATGGTACTACGTTAGTTTATCTTTCAACGGAGAAGACTCATTCTTATTCGGTTGTATTGAATTTGTTCCATTTGCCAATAAATTTTGTTCAGTCTCTTACTTGTTCTATTCTGGCTTACTTTTTTAGTCTAAATAAACGATTTAACTTGACAGAATTTCTGCCCTAATCGATTTTTCTTTCAATGTAACTGGTGGGTTGAATATAATTTATAATATTGCAAAAGTAAATGGCTCTGAGCTATGTTACTACTACTTCTAGAAGGCAACTATAATAGGCCTATAATCTACAATTTCAAACTCTCTTACCTTCCACACTCCAGTGCTAAGTAACCTCTCGTAGCCTAATATGTTACCAAAACCGACACATAACTACATACAATGGTCAATTAAGTACCTCTTCTAATGTAAGATTTACTCTTTAGTAGATCAACAACGCTAGCACAATAGACCTCAAGGGACACTGTGTACACTTTTTTGTTATAATTTATGGTGTTACCAACCACAATTTTCTGACTGCTAAAGTAGTTTCTAGTTCAATTTACCAATCAAATTTTATTTAATTTAACAATCTTAAGTACTTCCACTATTTCAAACCAAAATTTAGAATTTTTAAAATTGTTTCGAGAACATTTCGACAAACTTATAAAGTTCTTTCGAATGCAATTAAACTAACTATTAAAATTAAACCGACGACACTACCAAAAAATCTGCATGCAGCAGAAACTCTCCATCTCATCAAATTATTTTTATTTTGCCGCACAGCAGCGAAGTATAGTGCCAAAAACGAATATATAGTTTGAAATCTACTGTAGTACATTATTTATGTTATTGTGAATTGAATATGTCATCTAACACAACACAAATGTCAATCGTTTGCATTTCAGAGATGAAGAATTCGAAAAGAGTAGCAGTGGAGGAAGAAATTATTGGAATGGTTAAATTAAATCCATTTTTATATGAAAGAAAACATGAAATGTACAAAAATAAATGTATGCGAAACAAGAAATTTAATGAACTTGGAAAAAAATTAAATGTTCCAGGTAATGCACTCACAATTTACATATTTTGAAGGATACTATTTTTTTGTTGTAAATATTTTCATACAGCACAACAGCTGAAAGCTAGATGGAGAACATTGAAGGATAAATTTTTTCAGGAATTTAAAGCGGAGTTGATACCATCAGGGAGTGCTGACGAAGCAGTGAAAAGCAAATGGAAGTGGATGGAGCGTCTGCGTTTTTTAGAAAACATATACACGCCTGTAGAGTAAGTACATATATGAATAAGGAAATAGCTCAATAAATACATGGCTATTTTATATTTACAGCAATTCGCCTTGCAGTAGTTTAAATATCAGTAAGACGGTACAGGAGTTACAACAGAATATGACTTCGTTAGTTGATCGTGCAAAAATAATAGCCGAACCTTCTGTGCCCAAAAGTGCTGCGCAGCTATTTTTTGAGAGTTTAGCAAAACAAACGGAAGAAGCCGAACTAACACCAGCAGAATTTTGCAATTTGCAAATTGAAATATTAAAAGCGTTCAACAATTGCATACATAAAAATGAATCAAAAATCAATTCAACTATTTCTAACTTTATTTAATAATAAATATTGATAGAAGCAATACGAAATAATAAATTTTTCAATAAAAAAATAAATGTTAAACCATCTTTATCTTGTTCATAACTAACAGCTTGAAGGCGGCTTCAATACCAAATTACTTGCAGATGTTCTGCTTGCAGCAAATCTAAAGCGTTGCATCGCATATGCAGTCGCATTTGCTGCGCAGCGAAATATTGTCAATACATGCAGTTTGGAGTGCATTGCTATATATTTTTTGAAATTATTGTGAATTATATTTAGCGAAATAATATCAAAATTTGCATACACAGTTTGAAATGTAGTGATATCTGTTTTTTTAGACTATTGTGAATTATATTTTAAATTTTGGAAATTGCTAAATTTGAAATTAACAATAATTCAAAATAGATTAAATAATTTTCAGCACAAAAAAAGTGAATTTGCAAAATTAATGCGTAATTTAAATTTGTACATTCATATGTATAATATAGCACTTTCTGGAACATAAAATAGATACAAAATCAAACAATTGTCAACAAAACTTAACAGTTTCGCTTAACTATTGCCCAGCGAGCAGTAAAAAAACTAATATCATTCACAATAGAGTTTTGACAATCACATATGTAAGAGGTAATTGGTGTTGAAAATATTACGTTGCATATTGCCTTTTAAATCAATTGTAGAATCATAAGAAAGGGAATTGTTTTTATAAAATCAAGTAATTTTGCAAATGCAACGTTGAACAGAGATATTGAATACCCCTAATATCTCTGTAGCAACAATTCGAGCGCTACTACACATGCTGCTCTTCATATTAGGTCTGTTCCACGAACTACTCCTAGTAACTTTGAGTAACACTGGGTATACACAAGTGCGTTTCTCCAGCAAATTTTCGATTAAATGAGAACATCTGCGAGAACGTAACATCCCTGTCGAAATTTGATAATGCTATACAGACTTTACTTTTATATCAAGTAAAATTTGTGTTGATGTGTGAGTCAGCTGTTTTGGTTTAAATTTCAATTTTTGTATTGTTTATAAGCTATTCCATGAAAATCTGTGTAAAGAGCGTATTTTGGCACTTTATTTCTGTTACGCTTTCAGTTTGTACTTTTCTTGTGTTTTACTTGAATTTTACTACGTTTAGCTCGTCAAACAAATCTATTAATATATTTAGAGCATCAACAGTTTCAGAACTCCTGCACTAACATTTGGAGAATCACTACTCTAGCTGATCATTCACAATAGTTTCTGTATCAACAAGTATGTAATCGATAACAAAAACATATAAACCAAACAGCTGATGCTTGCAGCGAACAAAAACGTTGCGTTGTTTGTACGTTCGTTAGAGTCTGTCGAGCAGATAAAATAGTTTTTCTTATTAAGTAATAAAATTTTGTAATTGCAAAAGAACTAAAGTAAATACATATTAATAAAAAGTTATCTTTACAACTAAGTGCAATTATAGAAAACTAAATTTTAATATTTAGTTCATGAAAGCGAACTGCCGGGGTCAATAGTCCAATCATTTTCATTTTTGTTTTTAGTATATTCTTTGCATTGTTATAAGTTAAACTAACAAAAA